AATTGCCTGTCCTCCACAGATTTGGGCTGTTTGAGGGGGCTCATTCCTGTAATCATGGCACTCTGGGAAACAGAGACAAATGGATTGCTTGAGCTCGGGAGTTCAAGACCAGCCTGAGCAAGGGCAAGACCTTATCTCTGTGAAAAATGAAAAAACTAGCTGGGCATGGGGCAGGCGCCTATAGTCCCAGCTACTAGGAAGGCTGAGACAGGAGGATCACTTGAGCCCAAGAGTCTGAGAGTCTGAGGTTATTGTGAGCTGTGATGCCATGGCACTCTATCCAGAGCAGCAGAGTGAGACTTTGTCTCAAAAAAAAAAAAAAAAAATTGGATTTGAGGGCTCCACTCTTAGGGTTTCTTTTTTGTTTGTTTGTTTGAGACAGAGCCTCAAGCTGTTACCCTGGGTAGAGTGCTATGGCATCACAGCTCACAGCAACCTCCAACTCCTGGGACTATAGGAACCTGCCACAATACCCAGCTATTTTTCGGTTGCAGCCGTCATTGTTGTTTGGTGGCCCCGGCTGGATTCAAACCCACCAGCTCAGGTGTATGTGGCTGGCGCCTTAGCCACTTGAGCCACAGGCACCGAGCCACATAGGGTTTCTTTTTAATTCAGTAGGGCTGGAGTAGATCCTGAGAATTTGCATTTGTAACAAGTTCCCAGGTGATAATGATGCTTCTGGTGCAGGGACCTTAAAGAACCTCTAATCTAGTCTGTTTACTTTTGCCAATAAAAAAACTGAATCCCTTGAACTGGGAAGATTCTGCAAAGCCTCAGCTGGAACCCTGGCCCCCCAGCTCCCCTGCTTACTCTCCCCCTGCCTAGCAGGGGTTTTTGTATCCTTCACTTACTGCTTTATTTGAAAGAGGAACGTGTTCAGAATTTTAACACTAGAATCTAATATTTGCTGTGTGTACTTTTTCTCACCTTGCAGGATATTATTAGTTCTGAGTTTATTCACAAACTTGAAGCTCTGCTGCAAAGAGCTTATCGTCTCCAAGAGGAGTTTGAAGCCACCCTCGGGGCATCGGATCCTAACTCCCTTGTAAACGATATTGGTAAGATGGTTATTTTATATGGTTTTTAAGAAATGTGTGATGTGCCTCCTGCCCTCCCTTCTGCCAAGTGTCGTTCCCCCTCCACCTCTTCAGTTTTATTTTTCAAGTCAACTTAATGTCTTTAAGATATAAATGCAAATGCTTACCATAGGTAGGACTGTGACATTATTATTATTTTTGTTATTTTTGCCTTTTGGAAATAGAGTCTCACTTTGTTGCCCTCGGTAGAGTGCCATGGTGTCATAGCTCACAACAACCTCAAACTCTTGGGCCCAAGCGATTCTCTTGCCTCAGGCTCCTGAGTAGCTGGGAGTATATGTGCCCACCACAACACCCAGCTAGTTTTTCTATTTTTAGTAGAGATGGGGTCTTACTCTTACTCAGGCTCAAACTCCTGAGCTCAAGTAATTCACCCCCTGTGTTGGCCTCCCAGAGTGCTAGTGCTAGGGTTATAGGTGTAAGCCACTGTCCCCAGCTTCATGTTACTTCTAGACAAAAAGACCCATAGAGTGTAGCTTAATTTCTGGTATTTTCAGGTGGTTTCTGTTTTATTTTGATATTGAGTCTCATTCTGTCACCCTGGGTAGAGTGCCCTGTCATCATCATAACTCACAGCCACCCCAAACTTCTGGCCTCAAGTGATTCTCCTGCCTCAGCCTCCCAGGTGATTGGGACTACAGGCACCCACCTGGCTAGTTTTTCTGTTTTTAGTAGTGATGGGGTCTTGCTCTTGCTGAGACTGGTCTCGAGCACCTGGGCTCAAGGGATCCACCTGCTGTGACCTCCCTGAGTGCTGGGAGTACAGGTGGGAGCCACTGGGCCTACCTCTTTCAAGTTGTTTCTAAGGAAATTGTTGTTAATTTAGATTCCAAATGGATTTTCAAAGCAGGACCCATACTTGGCTGAGAATAGTGTTTCACGCCTATAATCCTAGCACTCTGGGAAACCTAGGCGGCAGACAGCCTGAGCTCACAAGAGCAAGACCCCATCTCTAAAAAAATAGCCTGGCCTTGTAGTGGGCACCTGTAGTCACAGCTAACTGGGAGGCTGAAGCAAGAGAATCGCTTATGCCCAAGAGTTTGAGGTTGCTGTGAGCTGTGACACCATGGCGCTCTACCAAGGGTGACCAAGTGAGACTGTCTCAAAAAAGAAAAAAAAAAAATGAAGCAGGACCACTAATCAATCTATGCATTTAGTTAGCTTAGGTTTGGAATAAGTTGCTGACTGCACTTGGGATGTCACTGGCTGTTAGCCTGACGTCCTTTTCCCTACAGCCTGGCAGCGCCTTGGCCTTCTGCTGCCCTGGAATTCCTAGTTGGCATGGCACTGTTACATGTCGGTCATTTTGGGAATTATTTGGATGTTTCAAGTTTCCATTTTTATACTTCCTGATTGAAAGTGATGAATCTATGGCGAAGACTCAGGTAGTAGCTCTACCTGAGTTTTTGATATTAATCAAAATTGCATAGAAATGAGTTCATTTCATTCTCTGAATAATTTTCTATCTTTGGTTTATTTATAGGCAACTCATAGTTAGTAGTCATAAATCAAGAGTCTATCAAGGCTCGGCGCCTGTGGCTCAAGCAGCTAAGGCACCAGCCACATACACCCGAGCTGGTGGGTTCAAATCTAGCCCGGGCCTGCCAAACAATGACGGCTGCAACCAAAAAATAGCCGGGTGTTGTGGCAGGTGCCTATAGTCCCAGCTACTTGGGAGGCAGAGGCAGGAGACTCGCTTGAGCCCGGGAGTTGGAGATTGCTGTGAGCTGTGATGCCACAGTACTCCACCCAGGGCAACAGCTTGAGGCTCTGTCTCAAACAAAAAATAAAAAATAAATAAATAAAGTGTTTCTCTGACTTCATTTAATACTCCATTGTTTTAGAATCTGCTCTATCTTGTTTGACTACCTTAATTTTCCTCTTAAGAGGGCTTTCCAGATTAGAAGATCCCTAAGCCATTCTCCTTTTCCTTTGCTCTTGGAAGGTGAACTCTGAGTCACTAGAGGGCAGCACACTTCATCTGCATCTTGAGAGCCTGGGACTCACAGGTGCCGTTCAGTATTGCTTGTAGCACTGGGAGTTAAATATAGGCCAACACTGCTTTTGGCACGTTTTGTGTACACCTGCTTCTGTAACTCATAGTGAGAAAGATCATGGAGGTTATGCAAAGAAGACTGGAAATAACATTAGTGTAAATTTCCATTAGTGTGCAAGTTCTACCTGCCAGCATCCAGAGTGTTGTGTTTATTTGTAGTTCTAGCTAACAACATTGAAAGTATTATGTTTTTTTGTAGTTGTAGCTAACAACACCCAGAGTGTTTTGTTTACTTGTGGTTCTCGCTAACAGAATACAGAGTGCTGTATTTATTTGTAGTTCCAGCTAACAGCATCCAGAGTGTAGTGTTTTGTTTTTTTCTTGAGACAGAGTCTCACTATATCGCCCTGGGTAGAGTGATGTGGCGTGACAGCTCACAGCAACCTCAAACTCTTGGGCTCAAGCGATTCTTTTGCCTCAGCCTCCAAAGTAGCTGGGACTAGGGTCGCCGGCCACAATGCTTGGCTATTTTTTTGTTGGAGTCGTCATTGTTGTTTTAGCTGGCTTGGGCTGGGTTCCAACTCGCCAGCCTTGGTGTACGTGGCCGGCGCCCTACCCCCACAGCCACAGGCACCACCCCAGAGTGCAGTGTTTATTTGTTGTTCTAGCTAATATCATCCAGGAGTTGATAAATTGTCAGTTATGCTGGTTTCTAGTCCTGGAAGGTATTGCCAGATTACTCTCTGGAATAGTATTTGTACCAATTTAAACTCCCACCAGTGTATGAGAGTTCCTTTTCGTATCTTCATTTGGTTTAACATCTCTCTGGTTCTATCAAGATGTTTCATTTTGATGTCACCACAGTCATCCATCTTTCCTTTATGGCTCGTGCCTTCTGGTATTGTTTAGAGGTATAGTGATAACTCTTTTGTATTTTCCTTGGAGAAATTTTGTTTTCATGTTTAGGTATTTAAGTCTTTCAGAAGCTGATTTTTAAAATATATGTTTTCATATTTAGATATTGTTTTAGGTAACAAATTAGAAATTTCGTTTTCATATTTAGGTATTTAAATCTTTCAGAAGCTGATTTTTGAAATACATGTTTTCATATTTAGATATTGCTTTAGATAACAAATTAGAAATTTTGTTTTCATATTTAGGTATTTAAATTTTTCAGAAGCTGATTTTTAAAATACATGTTTTCTTTTTGACATCTGGATAGCTAGTTGCCTCAGTACCACTCCTTGAATAATATATTCTTTTCTCTCGGATTTGAAATGTCCTCTCTGCCCTATGTCACAAATCCTTCTCTGTGTGTCGTTTCTGGACCTTCTGTTTTATTGTGCTAGCCTGTTTGTTCCTGCACTGATTTTTCAGTGTCTTTATTACTATAGCTTCATATACCTGTATGATAAATTGTGACACCTGGTGGGGTGAGACCATTCACTCTGTTCTTTTCTAAGACTTGCCTTGACTATTCTTAACCCTTTGTTTTTCCATGTAAAGTTTAGGACAGCTTGTCAAGTTTCATGAAAAACCCTGTGGGGATTTTGCAATTATAGGTCAGGGGTGGGAGCATTTACATTTTCGTAATATTAATCTTTCCATCTGTGAACATGGTATGTTCCTTTCATTAGGTCTTCATTTATATCTTTTGCAATTTTTTTTTTTCTTTTGAGACAGAGTCTCAAGCTGTCGCCCTGGATAGAGTGCCGTGGCATCACAACTCACAGCAACCTCAAACTCCAGGGCTTAAGCGATTCTCTTGCCTCAGCCTCCCAGGTACCTGGGACTACAGGCACTTACCACGATGCCTGGCTTTTTTTTTTTTTTCGGTTGTAGTTGTCATGGTTGTTTGGTGGGCTTGGGCCGGATTTGAACCCTCCAGCTCCGGTGTCTGTGGCTGGCGCCCTAGCTGCTTGAGCTACAGGTGCTGAGCCTCCTTTTGCAATGTTTTATAATTCTTCCCATAAACATCTTATACATCTTTTTTCCTCAATCCCTGATCCTTTTATTATTTTTAAATGGTACATTTTTTAAATTTACATTTTCTTTTCTTTTTTTTTTTTTTTAAAGAGATGGAGTCTCACTTAGTTGCCCTTGGTAGAGTGCTGTGGCATCACAGCTCGTGCAACCTCTAGTTCTTGGGCTTAGGCGATTCTCTTGCCTCAGCCTCCTGAGTAGCTGGGATTATAGTTGCCTGCCACAACGCCCAGCTGGTTTTTGTCGTTGTTGTTGTTGCAGTTTGGCTGGGGTCAGGGTTCGATCCCACCACCCTCCATATATGGGGCCGGCGCCCTATTCAGTGAGCCACAGGTGCTGCCCTAAAATTTATATTTTCTAATTTCGTATTACTGGTATCTAAAATGTTACAGATTTTTGCATTTGAATATTAACAATCCTTGTGAACTCATATTAGTTTTATCACCAGTAGTTTGTCATAGATTCTTTTAGACCTTTTGTCTAGACCATATATTATCTATGAGTCATAACATATTTATTTATTCATTTACTTTTTGTGACACAGTCTCACTCTGTCATCTGGGGTATAGTGTAGTGACATTATTTTAGCTCACTACAACCTCACTGTCCTGGGCTGAAGTGACCCTTCTGCCTCAGCCTCTCAAGTACCTGGGACTGTAAGTGGCATCATGATGTCCGGCTAATGTTTTTTTCTATTGTTAGTAGAGACAGGATCTGCTCTCACTCTTGTTCAGGCTGGTCTCAACTCCTCAGCCCAAGCAGTCCTCCCACTTTAGCCTCTCAGAGCTAGGACCACAGGAGTGAGCCACCACGCCCACCCATACATTTATTGTTATTTCTTTCTAACTCCCCTGTGCTTTCATTCTTCCCCTCTCCATCTTCCTGCTCTGAGTAGATGCTTAAAGTCTTCAAGTCTGAAGAGAGGTGTGTTAGAGGAGGGCCCTGAGGTCGCTGGCCCACTCACCGCGTCAGTGACCACATC